GAACAATTAAATGATTGAATAATTAATGGCTAGGACTTGGAGGATGAGGCGCCAGCTTGCAAAAAGCTGGAAAGAATGTAACGAATTATGCTATCAACCTTTTACATCAAGCTCATTCTGAAGCTTTAGATGTGGAAATTTGGGTTCCAGTGTTCAATACAAGAAGCATCAGCTCACTGATAATCTGGATTTGGTTCCAATTGAACCATTGGTTTCTTCACAAGAAATTTTCAAAGTTTGAGAATACTTTGTCTTCTTGTTGCTGCTTTAAGCCTTGGCATGCATTTTTTGCCGAGCAAGAAAATGCATGCCAAGGCTTAAAGCAGCAACAACGCTACACATAAAAACTGATGATGGTGGAAAAATGCACCGAAACGTATTTTGATTAATAAATAGAGACAAAAAATGACTGAAACCCAGGAATGAATTTGATTTGGAATCGCTGTAATGTCTAGTTAGTAAAATAAAGAACATAAAATCTTTGCTTACACATGTTAAGGCTGGAAAAGAAAAAACAGACATAATTTTGCAGATCTTCAGGAATTGTGTAAACTCCCAATTCCATGGTATGCTTACGAGTTGAAAAATCCCCCAGTAACCTTAAAGTAAAAATTGAAATTTCCTTATTCAGGTGCGCTGATATCGTAAAAAGTTGTGCTCTCGCTGCGCTGCCGGAATTTAATAATCCCAAAGTACTTGGGTACACAGAAATTATATTGCAGCATCAAAAGAAATTACGGCACTCATTCCTCTTTGGCGCTGCTGTTATAAAAATTAAATCAAATTTGCCTCAATAAAGTTTCCCGGATACAAGTTAACTTTGTAGTCGGCCGGGCGAATATTCGCCGAATATTTCGCAACTCCATGAATATTTCATTTTATTTGCCGTTTTCGTATTTTAATATGGCGGTGAATTCGATACGACCTTCCAGTAGTCTGAATGAATGTTTTCCTCTATTGTCTTCTCTGCTTCGGTTCCCGTTTCATCCAGTTACGCAGTTTCAAGTGAGTTTGGAACGTTTGCTGACCACCTGCGTGCAAACAACGGCAAAGTAGAAGATTACGCTTAACATATCGCAAATCAGCTTACTGAAATTGTCCTAATGAAAATATTGCTTTAGTTAGAAAGTCCCTTTATGAAAGGCAAATAAGCTAAAGAGTAAAACGTACGAAAAGTAATTCGGTTAGTGGAAAAGCGAGAGATAATGAAAAATGTAGTCGCTTTACTAATTGATTGGATACTTCGGCTAATTGTTCCCGAATGCAATAATCGGCCTGCGTCGCTTTTAATTATTCCAAATTCCCGGCATTTGATGATCGATGCTCCACTGTACCTGCCAGGATGGAAACTAACACTCGGTTTACTTTGTATGTGGAATAATCCAATCTGGCACGGCTTTATTGAATTAGCCTGTAATCTGTGATCATCTAATGCTTCAAACAGTTTAATACAACCTCGCAGTAGGCAAAGAGAATTATTTAACACGTTATCAGGGGCATTACCATAATGATTTCAGCCCGTTCCTCCCTCATGTACATCAGAGGAGCATGGGGATGGTGCATAACGCCAACATCGTGAAATAAATGCAACTTTTCTCTCTCCAGAGTGAGTGGCATAAATAATGCCCGCTTGCGTCGTAATTTAATGATCCAGGTTTAATGAGGATAATTAATGAAAACGGCCTTAATGGGCATAGTTTGATTAGTTACACCCGCATGCCGTAATATCAAATGCAGTCAAATTGTTTATTATCAAGCAAAACGATTTTATTGTCTACTTGGCTTCGGTTTAATGTGCGTCAGTGTAACAAACTAAATGTTACACAGCCAAATTTGAGCGGATTTTAGCACTAATCCAGTCGGATTACATTTTTTCCGCGCCCCAGACGAAGGTAAAAGATTAATTGGAGTATTGGGATAATGGTTTTAGCGCAATTTCCATTGTTTAAGTGCGAAAAACCGATTTTTGCGCATAACTTTTGAACCCTCGATGACACTGAAGTATGAAAAATGCCTACAATATGAGCCATCCCAAACCCAACCCAAACTAACTAAACCCAAACTAAATTAAAATCCGTTCATTGGTTTACTCAAATAACTAAAAAAACACAGACTTTAGCGGTTTTTTTAAATTTTCAATAATTAGTTCAGTTTTGCTTCGGAAAATCTCACTGTGACTTTTTTTGAAGATCTTTGCATACTTTCT